GGGGAGCAGAACAGGCAGATCGACGAAGTACACTGCTGAGGGTAGCAGCGGGCGGGTCAGGAGAGGTCTGCCACGCCATGTGGTCACCTCCGGGGCAGGCGGGAATCGAACTCATGAGGAAGTGGCCTTAGCTTCTCAGTGCTGTGCTTTAACCCGCTGCGCCACCAGCGAGGGCCAGTATCCCACTATCTTAAGAGATTTAGCTATTTCAGATGAGGGAGGGTCCCATTTCCTGGAAAAGGTCTAAATGTGTGACATTCCATTTACATTCTGAACCTACTCTTAAATTGCTTTATGGTAGGAAACTTAAACATTTTAACACAAATACTTTAAAAGTCAGATCATCTCCTGAGATCGGCTTGGGACTAGAGTAAAAAACCTGAAGGTGAGCACTGTGTACTCTTTCTTAGAATGGATGGGGAGACACAAGAGCTCTTACTACTTTAGTCATACTGTTTTCCCTCTCTCTGCTCTCTTTGGGCCCCACAACATGTAAAATGTCACTGGAAAATGGTTTTGTGTTACCTTTTGCGGGGTGGGGGGCTCCCTTTAGCTTTGCAATGAATTGGGTAAAATATCTCACTGATTTTTTTTTTTAAGATTTATTTCTTTATTCATACAGAGTGGGGGTACAGGCCAGAGGTGCAGGGGTGTGAGGAGGATTCACCAGAGACAGAGTGGGAGCAGAATAGGCAGCCTGACAAAGTACACTGCTAAGGGGAGCAATGGGTGGGTCAGGAGAGGTCTGCCATGCCATGTGGGTCACCTCCGGGGCTGGGAATCAAACTCGCACTGAAGCAGCTGTGGCTCGCTTGCAGTGCTGCGTCCTAATCCATTGCGCCACCAGGGAGGGCCCCTCACTGATGTTTTGAATAGGAAACATAAACATCTTAAAACTATTGATTCCTGAAATGTTCATTTATTTCTGAGGCAGTTGAGCTTTACAGAGAAGACTGGGATAGATAATAGTGCTTTTTTTAGGAAAATGTATACTGCAGCAGCTGTTTTCTCTTGAATCTGTTTTGTGCTAAGCTCTGTTTAAGGCACAATCCAAAAAGAATAAAAACCTTAAAATCCTTTACAAAATTTTCTTACTGAGCTACCTAACAAAATTAGCTTGAAAATGTGTTACCACTGCATAGGTCATGCTTTTGATGCTTTTATGCCTCATTAAGCAAGTAGGGATGTAACAGTTGGTCTGTCCCTTCCATAAGCGCATCTCAGATTTCAATCACTGATATCTGAATTAATTCCTTCAGTTCATAATAACCCAGAAGGGTTCACATTCTATGTGTGTGTGTATGTGTGTGTGTCTTATGACATTTAGAGGGTCAGGCTGTGTACATTGGAATCATTTCTGGTGCATTTTAACAATATACCAGCCTGTGCCTCACTACCAAACCAGAATTCCAGAGTAAGCTATTGAGCATGTTAACCCTAAAAAGCCCCAATTTGATTTCTTTTTTATAATTTTTTTTAAAAAGATTTATTTATTTATGCATACAGAATTGGGGTACAGGCCAGAGGTTGCAGGGACAGTGAGAGGCTTCACCAGAGACAGTGGGAGCAGAACAGGCAGAGCACCGAAGTACACTGCTGAGAGGAGCAGTGGGGCGAGACAGGAGAGGTCTGCTGGGCCATGTGGGTCTAACTTGCACTGAAGCAGCTGTTGCTTGCTTGCAGTGCTTCATCCTAACCCACTGTGCCACCAGGGAGGGTCCCAGAAAGCTACTCTTATCTGAATATTGAAATCAAACTGGGGCCTTCCTTGATGGCATAATGGGTTACAGCGCAGCACTATGACCTTTCCACAGCCACTGCAGCACAAGTTCGATCCTCATTGAGGGAAGTAACCCAAATGGCTCAGCAGACCTCTCCTGTCTCAGCCACTGCTCCCCTCAGCAGTGTATTTCTGTACATATGCCTGTTCTGCTCCCTACTCTGTCTCTGGTGAATCCTCTCACTGCCCCTACACATCTGGCCTGCACCCCAGTTCTGTCTTCATAAATAAATAAATCTTTAAAAAAAAAAGTAGCTTTTTGATTGTTTCTGACATCACCAGTGTTAACACATTTCAAAGCAAAATTTAAAGCTTGGTAGCTCATTAAAAAACTTTTGTGGCCCTTTCTGGTGGTGCAGCGGGTTAAAGCACTGCACTAAGAAGCTTAAGCCAATTCCGCATGAGTTCGATCCCTGCCTGCCCTGGAGGAGATCCACATGGCGTGGCAGACCTCTCCTGACCCACCCGCTGCTCCCCTCAGCAGTGTACTTCGTCGATCTGCCTGTTCTGCTCCCCTCGGTGAATCCTCTCACCCTCCGCATCTCTGGCCTGTACCCCAGTTCTGTATGAATAAATAAGTAAATCTTAAAAAAAAAAAAAAACAACTTTTGTTAAAGAGTTTTAAGGTTTTTGTGATATTTCATTAATGCCAATTAATAATAGATAAGTGCTTGCCATGTATATGACAGTGCTAGAAATTTGATTCAACTGAAAATCAAGAAGCCTTATTTTCTGAGTCAACTTTATTTTTTATAATTTAATTTTCTAATTTTTTAAACCGTAAGACTTTAGAAATTCTTACCAACAACCCCCCCCCCCAGTGTTTATACCTTAAATTTTTGTGTCATAGATCTGGAATATGAAGACCACAGAATGTTCAAATACCTTTAAGTCCCTGGGCAGCACTGCAGGGACAGACATCACTGTCAACAGTGTGATCCTGCTTCCTAAAAACCCAGAGCACTTCGTGGTGTGCAACAGATCAAACACAGTGGTCATCATGAACATGCAGGGGCAGGTGAGTACGCAGAAAGTGCCTTTGCACAGTCCCTGGAGGCTCTTCCCAGATCAGTTTGTCTTGGTTCTGGCCCTTCCAGTAATCAAGTAGGAATTCACTTTGAAAATAATACACGCTATCTTTGTTTTTCAGTCAGTTATTCAAGCTACAGTATGTTTCTGCAAGACATATCTTTAGCATGTCATCTCTTTTCCCAGGGTGTTTGTGATTATGCTTTTTCTTTGTATCCTGTAGATAAATGAGGCTCTGATCTGCCTTTAAGTCTCCTTCAGAACCTCACTGAAAATTTTAAGATAATAGTCCCTGTCTGAGTGAGGGAGGTAGAGTATGGATTACCACCTTGGGGCTTCTAGCTGCTACGTGAACTGAAATGGGACTTCAGTGGCAGGCACCAGTGTCTTCATGAGGTACATTTGTAAACAGGACACATGCGTGATTCCCAAGGAACCTCAGTTTTATAGCATCAGACATGTGAGGAACTTCAAGGTTCAGGTCTCAAGATCCAGGAGTATGTTGTATTGATCTGAAATGTTGCCTTGGGCGTTTGGAGATTGTAATGAGCATGGAGAAGACCCAGTGTAGGTGTCTGGAACTCTCATATCTCTGATCCCTGTAACTGATAAATTAGTTGCTGAGAACATGGCTAAAATGGCTAATCTGCAATATGTCTACTAGGCTGCCCATAGTTTCCTACCCATTAGTTTTTTTGCATTTCTTTTCATATTTAAAAAGCATTTTTTTAAAGTTCCTAATATATTACAAAAACAGTTTTGTATATTCTTCCCCCAGCATTCTCCAATGATAATATTCCTACATAAATAGAGTACAGTGATCGTATTCAGAAAAGTGACATTTGTTCAGTACTGTTAACACAAATATAAACCTTATGGATTTTACCAGTTTTTATATCCATTTATTTGGAGGCAGAAAGTTAATAGTTTTATGAAATTTTCTCTACATCAGTAGACTTATGTAACTACCAGGTTTACAGGACACAGAACTATTTCATTACTCTTCCCTCAACACCCTCCCCCCAAAAAATTCCCTAATGAAGTTAGATCTTCATCCTCCACTCTAATCCCTGGCAACCAAGGATCTGTTTCTGTTTTATAACCTTTTCTTTTTGAGAATGGTATGTAAGTGGAATCATACAGTATGTAGCCTTTTAACTTTTTGGTTAAAAGATTGGTTTCTCTCAGCTTGATTTATGATGGTTTTAATGTAATATAAAAGAGAACAAGCAAAGTCTTTGGGACAGAATTCCACTTTGCATGGGAAGAGCATCTCATCTGACTGATGAGCAGAATAGGAGACTTGGGACATGAATTCTAAATTTCTGTTACTGAGTCTAATTTATTCATTGACTATTTCCCAGTCAATAGGATTTAGCACATGATGAATGAACTTGGTTGTCTAATTATCAATGACTATAAACCAGATAGTACATTAATCTGAGAAGCAAGTTTAATTGCTGCATTTGAACTGCTGCTCATCCATATGTTTTTGTTTTCGGTTGTGTTATGATCTAGATTGTCAGAAGCTTCAGCTCTGGTAAAAGAGAAGGTGGTGACTTTGTTTGCTGTGCCCTCTCTCCCCGTGGTGAATGGATCTACTGTGTGGGGGAGGACTTTGTGCTCTACTGTTTCAGCACAGTCACTGGCAAACTGGAAAGAACTTTGACAGTGAGTATTAGACTTAAGGCCACCTAAAGAAATAACACTAATGCTTATGTCTTTCTGAACTTGAAGTAAGCCTTTCCAGACTTACTGTTAACAATGTGAGCTTCCTGTTAAAAAATGTAAGAATTTTATTCCTAAATTGTGTAAGTAATTGTATGGAATTTGTACATCTCCTCTGTCATGAAAAGCCATCCTTCAGTGAGCCTATACTTAGGGTGGGGGGACATTAAACAAGGAAGGAAGGAACAAGGCTAGCTGGCCAATTAGGTTAGCAGATCTTCCCTGGGAAATTAAAACATGATAGATATGGCTAGTTTCCCTGATGTCCTTGCAGGGGTGTATTACTTAGCCTTTGTTCTGTTGCTTATGATGTTTTTAAGCAGCTCTATGTTGTAAGAGTCAGTACAAGAAGTAATTATGCTAGCTGTTGTTAACGACTTGTCTCCAAACCTGAGTGGCTTAATGGTGAAAATTTATTATGATTGAAATTGTATAGCCCTCCTCTTGTCCTTCAGCCATGCCATTTGAAGCACACAGATTCCAGGGTCCCGGGAGGAAAAAACATAGCTAGAGAGCTTTGTTGGGTTTTTAAAACCCGCATCTTAGAAGAGCTTACATTACTTTGTTCCTCATCCTTTTTTGGTTGGAACTCAGTCACTTGCCCAAATGCAAGGGTGGAAGAGAAATGTAGTTTTCTATAGTCCTGGAAGAGTAAATTATACGGTGAACATATAAAAAAAATTATGCCTACACTCATGTTGGAGAATAATCTCTTTTGCATTATTCTTGGTTCATCTTTTGGTTACACCTGTGAAAGCTCCAGTACAAATCAAAGACTTGAGCTAAATGATGAGGCAGGGAATGTCTAACTGGAAAATGCAAGTTCACTGAGTTGAAGGAATCACTTAGTCTCAGCCATTCTGTCTAGAATTTACAGAATGATGGTGATGGTTAGGATCAGCTGTAGCACAAAAATTACTTGGGACAGTTATTCATATGTTATGAGAAACAGTCTAAAAAAAATGCAAGCAGCAGTGTGGTAGCCTCATTTGAGTTTCTGGTTGTTTGAGCCCTCTTTGAAGCTGCCTCAAAGAGCTTTACTCTTCTCTCCTGCTTTAGCTCTGGAAACATCTTGAGAAAGCACTTCTTGTAGACATATAAACCTTAACCCTACGCTTACCTGTTCTAGGTTCATGAGAAGGATGTGATTGGTATTGCTCATCACCCGCATCAGAACCTGATTGCTACCTACAGTGAAGATGGACTCCTGAAGCTTTGGAAACCCTAATTTGACTCTTTTAAGATAGCTTGAGAGCATGTGCTTAAATGAAGACATATTCTTGTGTTGCCTTTTTTTTTTTTTTTTTTTTTAAGGCCAGCTTTTTAAAAGCAAATTACTTAATTAGGTACAAGGATAATTTTGTGAAAATTCATGTTTAAGTAGCAGTTACCCTACCTTTTTTAAACATTTTTTTAAAGGTATCCATTTTATTTGTTTCTAGCTGGGGCATTTACTTGGTATTTTCAATATTTTCTGGAGAGTGAAATACTGTTATTTCTAGAAGAAAAACTATACTCCTGTGATTATCCGAAATTCTGATTAAATTGTGCCTCCTGCAGTAATACTTGTAAATAAGGAGTTATTCCATACTCAGTAGCTGTTTTTTCATCTTAATGTTAATAAACTTTACACCTTTCTGGAAACTGCTTTTTTTTTTTGGTAAATATTTATGCGTACAAGAACTGGGGTTTAGGCCAGAGGTGTGGGAGGTGAGAGGATTCACCAGAGACAGAGGCAAGCAAGACAGGAGAGGTCTACTGTGCCATGTGGGCTAGTTCCCTGGCTGGGGACTGAACTCTTGTTGCAGTGGCTGGCTGGCAATAGCTTGATAGTGTTGAGACTTCAAATGCTGCACAACCAGGGAGACCTGAAACTTTGATTTCAAATGTAAGTGCTCACATAGTTAACATTTATTCAGAACCTGCTGGGGTATAACAGCATTTCCTAAATCTTAAATACAACAGGAAGTCATTCCTGGGATGGAAGAATAGACTAAAAAGGTCAGATGTTAGTTTAGATCTCTTTCACTCATTCTTAGTTGCATCTTCTCAAGTTTTCCAGCTGACTCCAGGGAGTATCATCTATCTTCTTGATAGAACTCGCCTGAAGGATTCATTTTGAGAATTCAGTTTTGTCATCTCTCCTTTATATGTGAAGGAGAGTTTGGTTTTGAAAATATTCTAATGTTTCTGAAGAAAATACGGAAAAGTACCTTAAATTTTGAAGTCTGAATTTTTCTTTATACATCATTACCAATTAGCTAGAGAAAAGTTTAAAATCAGCAAAACCCTTGAGAATATTTTGCACGTGAATGTCTCTTTCAACCCAAGCTGTAGGGCACACTTTTTCCCACAGTCCAGCTCCCTGTCAGTGGAAAGCCAGCTCTCTAGACATAAGTGTTACTGGGAGGAAATCAGGTTTTTTGGAGAGCCAGTAAACTAAGGAGATAGAGGACTATCATCTCAAAGAACTTACGTTTTTCAGGGTGACAAAACTAGGTTCAGCATGTTCTATTTTGGAGTCACTTGTCTAATGAGACATTTGGTGGTCTTGCTGGCATCATCCTGGGCAAAGGGTCATAATTTGCAACTCTGGGTCCAGGTGACTTTTTATTAAGCAAATTTAGTGATTTACTGCAAAACTTAGAAATACAAGGTAAAGCAATTTTTGGTATGTTGACATGTTGATACATGAAGGTACTGTGTAAAACACAATTTAAAGAACATAAGACCTTATTTTTAAGGCTTTTATGCCCTATTTCATTTTAGCATGTTTGGTACAAACTAGTCAGGGAATTTTTTTTTTAAGTTTTGTAGTCTTAAAATTTACCTTTGTAATAGCCTGATTTTCTGCTTGCACGTAGTAATGCTCAATATTGGTTAAATTATCTTCACAGCATTAAAAATTTTCGCAGTCATGTTCCTTGGACTTTTTTCTTTTGCCACAAAATCTGCAAAATTTGATTAAATGTCATTTGATTTGCCACCAACTTCAGAGTTGAACAGTGGAAAAAAGTGAAAGAATTTTGAGATGGCTTATGCTAGACCCGGTGACCCTAGGACCTGGCAGTTGGGAAATACACTGTGTAAAGGCTCACAAAAAGCAAGTCTCCTCAGTATGTTCATCCCCTCTAGGGATTTATATCAAATACTTGTTCCTGAATCTAGTCTGATTTTAGAAAGACCAACAATTTCTGTCAAAGAATAAGGAGAAAGAAAGTAAATGAATACTTGAAATAGTGTTGTAAGAGAAAATCTTGTTTTATTTTTGTTAATAGGAGGGGGCACTCAGTTGAACTTTATTGAGTTAGGAAAAGGTTTCCTGGAGGGAGGTAACCATAAAAGGAACAGGATAGGGTATTTGCAAACTAAAAAGGAGCAGGGGTGTGTTGTGTGTCTGTCTTTGTAGATGTGTGTGGGTGTGTGTGTCTTTGTAGATACCAGCAATGTGGCAAAGCGGCACTGGGGAGACCAGGGGAATAGGCATAGATTGAGAGCTAAGTCCATGTATTTTCTTTATATTTAAGTAATGCATTGTAACAAAGGTGAAAATGAACCTTTTACCTACCAGATGCCCCTTGTGCATCTGTCTCCAACTTCTTCCATCTCATACAAATCAAAAATGTTTGTGTTTTGCTCCAAGTTGAAACACGTTTACCCTTATACTGGGCCTGAATTTGCTTCCTAAGACTCACGTGTCCCTCTCCCTAATATAGAGGGCAGGGGAGGGGGCCATCTATGGTGGCTGCGGGACCACCTAGTCCGCGAAGGGTGGTGGAGGGGGCGGGGGGTTCTTTTGTTTTTTGGGGTTGCCGAGCTGAGTAGCGTCTCCATGCAGGCTTTTGTTCTGCCCACGCATCCCCCCAGCTGTCAGGAGCACCACTGGGGAGCTTTTCACTTGGCATACAGATCGTGTTACTGTACTCAACAGTACCAGAGGCAGAGCAAGTGTACTTCGAACCAAAAATCACTGGCGTACTTCCTTCTGAAAGGCATGTTGTATCAGGTTTCTAAGGAGGTTACCGCCCAATCTGATCTCTAAGCAGTTAAAATACATGGCATTAAAGTTACCTCCATGAGGGGAAGGATATTCCCTACTCCTCATTCAGTTACTGAATTGACTCTAGAAAATATCAAACGGCCTATTATTTCACGGTAAATAAAAACAAAAACTCAGGACACAGTATCTTCAGTTGTTTTTCAAATTGTATTACTGGCACTCAGAACCACTTTATGAGACAGTCTATTATGATTCCCTTAACAAATGACAGGTTTTCAGAAGTTAGGTAAGATGCTCATGAAACTCAGATTTCAAAAGCTCCTTTTCTCTGTACAGACTGAAATCTAAGTATGATTGTTTCTTCACCTTTTATTACTGTTCTTATCTACAGTGGCAAAAGCAGTGAGAAAACTATTGATTAGAATGAGTCCCAACCCAGTCTTTGCTGTCATTTAACTTTGGCCAGAATAGTGGTTCTAAGTGTCACCTGGCATCTTGTTTGAAAGGCAAATTACTAGGTGCTTACCAGAGATTTACTTAACCCAGTTGTGGCAGTGGAGCTCAGCACATACGCTCACATTGAGAACCAGTTGTCTATAATTTCCTCACTAAAAAGCAATCTAGCTCAACTATACCAAATTCCCCTTCGGGTGGGATTCAAATCCTCAGTCTGTTTCATGGATTCTCAGGTAATCCCAGTTGTAGCCAAGGCTGACAACATACACTATATCCAGGAAGAATGACACCAAATTCAGTTGGATCTGCGACTGTGAGTACCTTCATGGGACATAATCAGTCTCTATTTCTATTGCCTAACATGGAATAGGTGCAAGCATCAGACAGCGGCAGAGATAAAGCTGGAAGCCAAAAATGGCTTTTGGGATGATCTTGGCTATATTTTTTCTAGTGGGTTGAATACAAAGGCCAATTTGTCCATTTTTCTTTTTTAAGATTTATTTATTTATGCTTACAGAGCTGGGGTACAGGCTAGAGGTGCAGGGGCAGTGAGAGGATTCACCAGAGACAGGGGAGCAGAACAGGCCCATTGGCGAAGTACACTGCTGAGGGGAGCAGCGGGCGGGTCAGGAGAGGTCTGCCACTGAGGATCACCTCCAGGGCGGGGATGAAACTGGCTGAAAGTTGCTTTAGCTTCTTAGTGCTGTGCTTTAACCCACTACCCCATCAGGGAGGACCCTGATTTGTCCATTTCTAAGTCTCAGATTATAACTTTTTGAGTAATTCCCCGTGACTCCTTACTATAGTAAAACATGTAACATACTAAACCACTTTTACATAATTCAGCACTAATTACATTCAGTATTGGCAATCATCACCCTTCTCCCTTTCCAATCACCCCTAAGCAGAAACAAAACTTTCTTCGGCCCTCCCTGGTGGCACAAAACTGTTTCTTTGGCCCTCTCTGGTATTAAAGCACAATACAAAACACTTTCTCCATTACTTTCCTCCTTGAGTTTGCCCGGATAGTTCATCTAAGTGGAAACAGACTTGTTCTTTTGGGTCTGCCATATATACATCCCATTTTGTTGATCCATTTGTTGAACTTCAAAGGATTTTTTCCAACTTGGCTATTCTGTGAATAATGCCCCAATAAGAACTGGCACACAAGTATCTAAGAACTACTGGGAGATACTGTTAGCTCCATGTTCAGCTTTTCCAGGACCTTTTCCATAGTAGCTCCACCATTTTCAATTCCCACCAGGACTATACAGGTTCCAATTCCTCCACATTCTCATTTTTCATTTTTGGATTATAACTATCCTACTAGGCTGTGGTTTTGATTTGTACTTCAAGATGGAAATATGGAAGGCCTCCTCATGCAGATTTTTATATTTTTAAAGTGTCCTTAAAAATGTTGTGTATCCAGGGCCCTCCCTGGTGGCATACCAGGTTACAGCACAGCACTAAGAAGCTAAAGTCGGGCCCTCCCTGGTGGCACAGCAGGTTAAAGCACAGCACTGAGAAGCTAAAGCCACTTCCGCATGAGTTCAAATCCCGCCTGCCC